TTACAATTAATTTTTCTCAGAAGTTTCTATTTGGGTTACTATCTCTAAGTTATGAAGTATTTCTCCAAGATGCTCTCCTCTGCCAGCCTCTTTATTGTGTTCCGTGTGCTTTCTAGGATGATTGATGAAGTTGGTGACATCACATGAAAATCGTGGCACACAATAGCACTAATTTTAGAAGAGGCTGGGGGATTGTGGTCTGTTTAGAAAATTAATCTGTATCTTCTTGCTGGGCCATGCTTTAAGTAAGACACTTAGATCTGGGAGGTGAAATCCAGATGTGGTATAATTAGAAAGGGAGAATTTTGCATTGTCTCCAGTTCCCTGCTCTGTTATAAAAGAAGCAAAGATGACCTCTGTGTTATTAATAATGAAGAATATCCATAACTTCCAAAAGCAATGGACTTGGTAATTTTTTTTTATGCTCTTACATTGCAATCCTGTTTATTGAAAAGACAACAATGCAGGGAGCCCAGAGGGATGGGCACCTGCTCCCCTGGGCATCAGAGGAGGGCAGGAGGAGTATTGATCCCTGCTGGGCTCCTTCTGGGAGCCCAGGCATGGCTCTGTCCCTCTGACATCAATTACAGGGGCTGGAGGGAAACTTTCCTGCCAGAAGATTTACCTGTGCCCTGTGAGTGAGTCCCACGACCTCTGGACCTTCCATGCCCTGGAACTACCATCCCCAAACTACCCTCTTCTCCTTAGCGTTGTCTTTCCTAGCATATCAGCCCTGGTTCTTATGTGAATGAAATGACACAAAAACAGAACGACAGTTGGTATGGATTCATCCTGATGGTGGCATCCAAGGAGCACTTCCCATCAGTTCCTGTCTTACGGTCTGCAGAGCTGCTATGATTCCTCCTGTCCTTCATGAAACTTTGTTTTCATTCTGTGAGTTATTCTGGAGCCTTCCAACAATCTCCCTTTTTGATCAAGTTGACCACTTGCTTGGGGTCCAGATCTCTTCTTTAGCTTGTGTCAGTTCCTTTCCCCAGAGACTGAATTCAGTGTCCTTCCAATACCTGCTCTTTCCAACAATGGATCTGCTCATCTAACCTGGCCCATTGTATGTAGACTCGTTTGTTCTCTCAAAATATGAAAAGTACTATTCCCCATACCACTCCCCAAATCCCATTAACGCTTCCTACTTGAACAGAGCTGAACACCGTATGCCTACGCACACAGGTGTCCCCTGTACATGGTTTCTGCCTCTGATATGGTAACTGCAGATCTCACTCTGCCCTTATTCAAGTCAGTTACCTGCAGTCCCAGATACTCTTGAACTTGGTAATTTTTAAGGCCTTTATGTGAAGTCTGCAATTGTAATTTGTTAATATTGATTCAGTTTAAGCTTGGCATTATATTTGTAAACCATACATTCTTCTGTAGCTAAAAATTTCTTGATTTCAAAAGTTATTAACTCTCTTGATCTTAATAAGCAAGTATTTTTAGTACTTCTTTAAGCAAACATCTTTTCATGAAACTATTTAAATTATTCAAATTTAAATTGCTTAGCTACAATATTTGATTTAATGATTGCTAATTGCAGGATTCTATACAGGCAAACACATTTTCTTCTATTGTAGTTCCATTTATTTGTTCCTCTATTTAGTTCCAACATTATTTTAGTTCCATTAGATCATAGTTATTAACCTTTCTTGACAAGGAGGATAATTTATAACATCTATATATTTGATTATATTGATAAAGTCCTTCATATATCTGTATGTACATGTATATACACACACACACACACATGTATATGTATATAGTTTTTTAAAAATTGCTTAATCTCTAAATTAAAACAATGACATGTTGGGCTAGTTCAGGAATCTAGACATTTTGTGTTCTTTCCTCACAATCTATGAGATGAAAGGAAAATCATTTGGGTTATTTTTTCTTGCTTTTTTAAACGGGGGGATATAATACATTGAATTTTTATTTCTACAGTAGGAAAGTGCTTGGCTAGCCAGTGCCATCACTGAGATGAATCTCTTTAACCATTTCCCTTGTCTAGGATCAAGAAGTTAGAAGGCCTGGGATCTGTCATTTCTGGTAATTCAATATCAAAATGGAGGAAGGATAGAATAAAATAAAAGACTTAGCATTGATTCTGCATTACTTAACAATGACTTACTGAATTCCAATGAAGCCTTGTCTTACGAAAAAGAAACAGTCTCTTTCTATCCTAAATGTCACTTTGGGAGACCCTTGGACCTCATTCTCATTTTGCTATGTAAATAGAATTAATTTTATCTTGAAAGAGCAGTGGAGTGACAGTTAAGGGACTTCTATTTCCTATTCTGCCACTAACTGCAGGTACGAACTTGCAGAGGTTAATTCAAAATCTTTGTGTTCTCTGTTTCCTCAGTTATAAAAGAGGTTGTACTAGAAACACTAATTTTCAAACTGTGCCTCTGAATGCACAGGACCATGAGAAATCAGCAAGTCTTCATGAAAAGGGTGGAAGGTAGACCTCAGGGCAAAGACTGGCACTTTTTTCTCAATTGCATATTCACTTCAGTAAGATTTAATTTGAGGAAAGGGAACTGACTTAAAAAGTTTGAAAACACTGAATTTAAAAAATAATGATTGCTAAGATTTCTTATGGTCTACTAATTTTGATCTGCCATTTATTATTCAATACTATGCTAGTGAATATTGAGGTATCAAGAACTGTTATATTCTTGGCTTCTCCTTTTAATAGAGGTTGTAAAAAAAAATCCCTTACAGAAAGGAGGCCTAGAAAAGATAAAATGAAGGCAAAATCTTGGTAAAATTTTAACTGAACTTTTATGTGATGTCAGGACAACTAAACATGGCATTCACACCTCTTGGCCAGGTCTGTTCCTTCCCTGTGCCAACTTGCTGCCCACCTCCAGGAGGCACCACTGTGCTATAGTTTAACGGAATGATGTCCCTGAAATTGAGCAGTATACCACCTAAATAGCTGTTCCAGGCTTGGCTTCATCATTTGTCCAATAGCTGCTTCTCTTTTAAGGTGTCCCTTAGAGATAGTAAGGTGGTCCACACCCTGTTACTTACCCCCTGTCATCAAGAATTAATCGCTCTCTGCTTTCATGGCACTTTGTTCCTAACCTTTTCTGGGATACTTACAGCACAGCATTATCCGTAGTTAATTGTATTTGGGTGCCTGTCTTCCCTGTTGGGTCTTGAGCTTTTAGAGGACAGGGACTGAATATTAATTGTATTTGAATTCTCAATCCAGCACTAGTCCTGGGACTTTGAAATACTCGAAATTAATGTTCTTAAAAAAAATGGAGTAGTAAATTTATAACAAATTATCCTTACAATTACACTCAAGTAATTTTCTTTCAAGACCTTAATAAAAGATGATAGTGGTTCTCTTTTTTTGCCATATATATTCAGCTATTCAATTCAATGCAACAAATACTGTGCTGATGGTGTGGTATTCATCATTTAAGTGGGTGTCATGCATGAACCTCATCCAGGGATCAGGGGAGTTAATAAGACCTATACCCTTCATAATTAAAATATGAGCCAGCACATGATTAATGTTGTATTATGAGCATGACCAAAGTGCTTTGGAAGCTCTAAGGATTTGGGATTAATTGAAGGATTGCACAAAGAATCAGTACTTTGGCTTGGGAGAACATCTTATATTTTCAGCAAAAATATAGAATGGGAAATGAGCAAGGTACAGCATTGTAGGTGAGGAGGATTTCATGGTATATTAACATGATTACACATTCGATACAAAAATTACATAGATTTTGCAGTAGTTGGGGAGAAGGCTAGAAAATTAGGTTGAAGACTTACTTAAATACCACACTAAAGGGTTTAGAATTATTTCCAGGGAAAAATCAGAAATAATCAAAAGAGAAGCAAAAGAAGAAAAACTCCAGTTTACCAAGCTTAGTCTGATAGTACACGTAAAATGATTTGAAGGACAACATTTTGAAGACATGAAAAACAGTTCAAGCAAAAGAGAATCTAGGACTTGTTAGTAAGGTAGCTGCGGAAAAAAAATGAGGGAATGAATGTGGCAGTGAGATTGAAGGATAAGCGACTTAAAATATTTCTGAAATATACTGAATAGATGATATATAAGTGATATGACGAAGATTATTACAGAAACCTTCAATATGCTAATATTAATTTTTAACACCTTTGATGTCTTTAAAATTACTTAAACTCTTAAAAAAATTAATCATTAGTTATATTCATGTTTATTTTTTACTGAGGTGGTAATGCTATTCCTAAATCTGTTGTCACACTTGCCATTTGGTAATCAATCTATCAAGGGTCTTATTCACAATTCTAACAACTGATGCCTTAAATGTCTCATTTTTCCTATTTTAGGGTTTGGGCCTTGAATACTCCTTAATAACTTTAAACAGAACTCAAAGACAACTATGCTGACATTTTAACATCAACACAAAACTAAGTTATCATCTAGCGTTTTGTTTAAAGTAATAAGTTAAACCTTATTGGTAAATTTTGACCTAAAATCTCCTACATGCTAAATGAATGCACCATCTTAAATTGTAAACAAGGAACTCCAGGGTTGGTGGCATTGATACAAGATCCAAAGATGGGATGTGCCTATGTGCCCAGAGGAGATGCTCCAGAGAAGAAAAAGCAAGTGGGTGTATACTTGGAGTTACTGTGCTGCTGAATAATGACAGGTTGGATTCTGCTGTGTGTTAGTGGTGGACTGGGCCTGGTGTCCACTTTGGAATGCAGAAGAAAAAGAAGATGAGAGGGCAGCATGCCTCAGGGAAACTCTGGTCTTATTCTATTATTCTGCAGCCCCTCCTCACCCAGGAACCCCCAGGACAACCTCTGCTCACTCTTCAGGATTTGTTCATCTTCAGATCTTAAAACAGGGCTGGTGGGATGGCTAGGTAATTTGAGGAATCTTCTCCTTAATGATATACTCAGACAGTTGTTAATCGTCAGTCGTCTAGACCCTGATCCTATCTTTGGGTGAAGGATCATATAAACCTTACAGGTTAAAAAAGTTTCAGCAGCACATACACTGGAACTATACAGAGACGATTAGCATGGTGCCTGCACAAGGATGGCGTGCAAATTTGTGAAGAGTTAAACTTTTTTAAGCCTACGGAAAAGTATATATAACAAAATTTGCTTAGAAATCCTGTCTGGGACCCAAAGTCTTTTACTATATGACTTGAAAGCATCATTTATAATTTTATATTTTTATTTTTTTGAAAGCATCATTAAAGGTGTAATTTATGTGCACTGTATAGTATTTTAGTGATATATGTAAGTAAAAGCATTCTTATATTCCATACAATTTAGAGTTTTTTGTAATTGAGTGCTAATAATGTAGACCATCTTGATTGAATAAACATTTTTAATTGATCAATTTTCCCAACTGTTTCATTGTATTTTTCTAAACAAATACTCAATACTCAAGACCCCTATGAGGCATTTATATAATTTTTAAAAGAAAGAAGGTTGGAGAAAAGCAAGGTGTTGATTAACACAAAATGTATGGAGAAAGGAAGAGAAGAGGAATGGTTTGGGGAGAGTCTCAAGGTTCCAAAGGTACTGGTACATTTTATTTCTAAAGTTGGGTACAAAGTACACATATTCACCTATTTATTTCACTTGTCTAGTTTACATGTGTGCTACATATATTGTTGTGAATTCGTTTACTATTTGATAAAACTATTTAAAGGAGAGGATTATAAGATGTGGTACAAATAATGGTAATGGAATCATTATTTTTTAAACATCAGGACTGTGGACTTTAGGAAGGGACTTTTTCTCAAAGTATCCTGAGTTTTCTGTTCCAATCTATTAAATAAATAAGTGTTAAGTCTTATAGGGAAAGAGAAGTATAAAAACATAAAAAGACGTAAGTATGGTGCTAAGGAATTTTCAACTCGCCTGAGAGGGACTGGCTGTGAGAACAGCCTGTGTACAACACTGACTTCTGTTTTACGTAAGAAAACACTACCGTCAACTGGCAATAGGGAGTGTATTTTCATGGCTCTTTCTGGAGTTCGAATCAAAGCATACTAATGTGGCCACATGATATCAACCAGTTGTCTTTATTTTCAGGATAATTACCATGGCACCACTTCCTGTCAAAATTCAAATTACTATTTATTAATTGATCAATGCTAGTATAAGACCGGGAATGGGAGAGAGCTGACATGGTTCTTGAAAATGCTCAGCGAGGTACCAACGGGGTCTATTTCTTCAGAACTCACCTCAGTTGTTATTACTCTGTTTCTACTCTTCCTGTTCAATCTTTCTTTTTCTTTTGGCAACCATATTTACTTTGAATAGTTGAAAGAATGCCCTAGGCTTTATTATGAAATGAGATCCTAATTCTGGCTGAATTAAAAGTATCCTACATGCCCTGGGTACATTCATGAGTTTAGGTCTCTTCAGTCTGAAATGGAGCTGAATCAGTAGCGTACTGTGCTTATTCAGCAGCACAGTAAAGGTGGAAAGCCTCTACGTCCTTTTATTACCCAAAGCCCTATAATCGCTTTGTTTTAACCAAGTATACACAAGAGTGGTAGCAGAATTTCCCAGTTAACAAGTCAAGAAATCTCTACATCAGATAAGAATTGAGCTCTTTGGGTTTATTCGTGGAGCAAAATACTTTAAACCTAAAGAGACCATTCTGGAAGTTGTTTATTTTGATGACCAGATAGATTCCTTTGTTTTGTAAAAGCCACATGCTCATTTTGCCTTCTTAGGAAATTTTTGTTCTAGCACCCTATCATTATTTGCTACCGAACTTCACATCTTTTGTTTGAAGCATCTAAAAATAAAAGTAGTTGTTTAACTAATTTTCTCTTGAGCTTAATTTGGCAATTATCAAATCACATTTGTGCTTAGTCTGATAGTACACGTAAAATGATTTGAAGGACAACATTTTGAAGACATGAAAAACAGTTCAAGCAAAAGAGAATCTAGGACTTGTTAGTAAGGTAGCTGCGGAAAAAAAATGAGGGAATGAATGTGGCAGTGAGATTGAAGGATAAGCGACTTAAAATATTTCTGAAATATACTGAATAGATGATATATAAGTGATATGACGAAGATTATTACAGAAACCTTCAATATGCTAATATTAATTTTTAACACCTTTGATGTCTTTAAAATTACTTAAACTCTTAAAAAAATTAATCATTAGTTATATTCATGTTTATTTTTTACTGAGGTGGTAATGCTATTCCTAAATCTGTTGTCACACTTGCCATTTGGTAATCAATCTATCAAGGGTCTTATTCACAATTCTAACAACTGATGCCTTAAATGTCTCATTTTTCCTATTTTAGGGTTTGGGCCTTGAATACTCCTTAATAACTTTAAACAGAACTCAAAGACAACTATGCTGACATTTTAACATCAACACAAAACTAAGTTATCATCTAGCGTTTTGTTTAAAGTAATAAGTTAAACCTTATTGGTAAATTTTGACCTAAAATCTCCTACATGCTAAATGAATGCACCATCTTAAATTGTAAACAAGGAACTCCAGGGTTGGTGGCATTGATACAAGATCCAAAGATGGGATGTGCCTATGTGCCCAGAGGAGATGCTCCAGAGAAGAAAAAGCAAGTGGGTGTATACTTGGAGTTACTGTGCTGCTGAATAATGACAGGTTGGATTCTGCTGTGTGTTAGTGGTGGACTGGGCCTGGTGTCCACTTTGGAATGCAGAAGAAAAAGAAGATGAGAGGGCAGCATGCCTCAGGGAAACTCTGGTCTTATTCTATTATTCTGCAGCCCCTCCTCACCCAGGAACCCCCAGGACAACCTCTGCTCACTCTTCAGGATTTGTTCATCTTCAGATCTTAAAACAGGGCTGGTGGGATGGCTAGGTAATTTGAGGAATCTTCTCCTTAATGATATACTCAGACAGTTGTTAATCGTCAGTCGTCTAGACCCTGATCCTATCTTTGGGTGAAGGATCATATAAACCTTACAGGTTAAAAAAGTTTCAGTCCCCTGACAGCCAATGATCGTTTTACCATCTTTGTAGTTTTGCTTTTCCCAGAATGTCATAGAATTGAACTCATGCAAGTATGTAGCCTTTTCAGATTAGCTCTTCTGTTTTATAATTTGTATTTAAATTTCTTCCATGTCTTTTCAGTGTGAATATACCAGTTTATTTATCTGTACACCTAGTGAAGGACACCTCGGTTGCTTGTAAGTTTTGGTAACAACTAATTAAAGCTTCTATAAACATTCATGTGCAGGGTTTTTTTTGTGGACATACGTTTTCAACTACTTTGGGTAAATATCTAAGAGTGCAGTTGCTGAAGCCTGAGTGTGTTTGCCTAGATGTATTTTTTTTTATATTTATCTTTCTTGTGTTCTCTGGGCTTACTTGATCTGTGGTTTGCTGTCTGACATTAATTTGCATAAATTCTAAGTTCCTGTTGCTTCATGTATTTATTGTTCTACTTTCTTCCTTCTTGTATTCCTATTATACATATGCCACAACTTTTGTAGTTGTCCCATAGCTTTTGATATTATTTTGTGTTTTTTTCTCTTTGTTTTTCAGTTTTGGAAATTTCCTTTGTCATATACTGAAGGCACAGAGGCTCTTTCCTCCTTCAGTCTACTAGTAAGCCCACAGAAGCCATTCTTCATTTCTGGTAGAGTGTGTTTGACCTCTAACTTTTCTTTTAGTTTATTTCTTAGAATTCCTAACCCTTGCTACCATTATCCATCTGTTCTTACATGTTATCTAATTCTTCCACTAAAGCCCTTAGCATATTAATAATTTTTAAAAATTACTGGTCTGGTAATTTCAACATTCCTGCCATAACTGACTATGGCTTTGATGCTTTCTCAGTCTCTTCAAATTGTTATTTTTTGCCTTTTAGTATGTCTTGTAATTTTTGTTGTTGTTCAAAGGTAGGCATGTGTTGGGTAAAAGGAACTGGGTTAAGGAGGCCTTTAGTAATGTAGGGGAAAGTTGTGGGGGGAGGAGAGGTATCTACAGTCCTGTCCTATGACTAGGTGATCTCAGTCTGTGGTAGCCTCTGCCCCTGAACAGGGAAAAATTTCACCAATCCTCAGTTTTCTTTCCCCCTTATGTGGGACAGGGTAGGTGGAGAGGGCTGGAGTTGGGTGTCATCCTGACCTCACGTAAGCTAGGCTTTGATGAAACACCAGCAGTTTAGGACCTAATAAAATAGTTTCTCCTGAGGTCAGCCCTTATTAAGAATAGAATACTCTGGAATACTTCAAAATGTTTCCCTTCCCTCCCTCTAGAGGAGAAGGACTTTTTCTTCACACAGTACCTGTGAGTACCTGGTAGAACCTCTGGAGGTAAAATTCACAGAAGTGTGAGGTGTCCTCTGTGACTAAGGTTACATAGAGTTTCTAACTCGAAGTTGTCCACACTGAGCTTTCAGCAATTTGTCAAGTATGGTCCAGTTTTCCTACCCCAACACTGGTGTCCACTGAGGTTTCTTCTCAGGTAAGTTGCGATTCTCTGTTATCGCCTGCATCTCCAATTTTGGGGGCACCAGTTCACCACTGTGATCTTACTTCTCTGGTGTATCTAAGAAGAGCTGTTGATTTTTCAGTTTGCTCAGCTTTTGACTTGTCAGAGCCAAGTGGCAAATTCTAAGCTCCTTTCGCTTTGGACTGGAAACTGCAAGTCTCTATCAATTCTTTAGAGATTTAACTTGCCTGAGAAACCATCCAGTGAAATTTTTTAACGTTTATGTTATTGCATTTATTTAAACTTTTTATTATGATTTTCACTGCAAGTAACATATTTTAAAAGCCCTTCCCCACTCCAACATTAGTGAAAATTTGCTTTTATTTTTATCTAATTTATGATTCTTTTCTTCTTTGACATTTTAATGCACCTGGGGTTTATTGAGTCATATGGAACAAAGAAGAGACCTAAGTTTGTTTTCCAGTTGCCTTTTATTTTGTTCTCTCATAAATAATCCAATCTTTCATCCACAGTTTTGAAATTTCCCCTTAATAACAAATTACATTATTATAATTTTTGCGTCTGCCCTTCTATTTTGGTCCAGTGATCAGCAACATATTCCACATACATATGAAACTTTCTAATTGATTTTCATATTAAAATATATG